TGGTATACATAACTATTTTATTCTAGTAATAAATTATATGTTTGAGAAACTGTGCAAGTTTGTTTTTCTGTCTTTTGAATTACATATCCAGATAAGCGACTCACCCTTTGTTATGTTAAAATTCTAATTACCATAATTTAAAACAACTACTGACCTGTAAAAGAAGTTATCTACATGTTTTTATCCTGTATCTTCATGTTGACAATAAACATGCTGTTACGATAATCACATGCAGGTGCACTCCAAAAAGAACAAAGCATAGGTATTCCCAGGACAGATAGAGGGAGCTGGATCTCCAGTTTTACTCTTTAAAAAGACAGCTATAATCAAGGTGTCAAGTTTAAATTTGCAAACATAAAAACAAATTCTAAAAATCTTCAGCTGGTTTGTGACTATTACAGTAATCAAATTAGGCTTTAAAGGAATCAGGAGAAATATAATTTGCCTAAAGTTCAAGGTACAATGAAAAAATTTTATTTTTTATGAACATAGCTACATTGGTACAGTAAGACATTCAGGGAACTGATCTGGTTTTTTATCTGAGATTTCCCATGAACGAGTATTTGCCCCTTTTCCTGTCTTAGTGATATAATAGCAATACTGAAACATAGCATGTCACCAGCAAAATATGTCAAGAAGAAGAGTATTATATAACATTAATTTCAGTGAAGTTGGATGGACAGGTATTACAATTTTCTGAAAAAGAAAAGCCCTTCCCTCCCATTCACCCTGAGATAAGCTTACAAAGGATTCACAAAGGTAAACACAATTCTAACTGCAAAGGAGATAGAGCAAAAAAGATACAGAGCTGGATTTAAAAGTATATACACCTTCCCACTGTTACATTTGATTATGCACTAGAAACCATGCTCTGCATCTATATACAGAGACAGAGCTGTCTCACTGCTACTGCTTATCCCCAAACAGGCAAAATAATGCACCAAATGGAAAAAGTAACAGAATACTGAACATAGGAAATTCTGTTAAAATTGGATGTCAACCTCATAAATTACACTTTTTTCTAAGGTATTCAACTTTATAGCTTACTTCTTACTTTTTTAATCGAACATATTTTTCACTTTTATCTTCTACGGGGGGCTGGGAGAAGGGGAAGGGAAGAAATTGTTCTGTGTTCTTTGCAAGATTCACAGTAGCACTGCAATCTTAATTAATCAACAAGATCCAGCTTTACTTCTAGTGTACCTCCAGTGTAAAAAGGCCTCCACATTTGATTACACTTCTGAAAGACTTACAAAAATAATTACATATTTTTCTAAGTGACAGATTAGTTGTAAGTGTAAGCAACTGCAATATGAAAAAAATTTGATGTATGGATATAAAGACCGACTCCCATACTCCACTGAACAATGGTGGTAATCCTGGTGTAAATGGTCCTTCCCGGAGAGATTTTGGGGCACAAGAAAAGCAGGTCTGAACCCCTTCATTACTCTTGCTAGAGGTAAAGATGTTAAGTAAGATGGGCAGCACCAAATCGGCTTATAAATTCACTACATCTCTGTTTATTCAAATTCAACTCATTTTTCACCAGTGCTTTTGGACAGTGATACTCCAAAACAATGAGTCAATACTGATACCCAAGTTATTTTAAAACTTAAATTAATCAAATAAAATCACCAACAATCTTCGTCTAAGACTGGTTACTGCAGTCACCCCAGTCTGCACATCAGCTTTCCTCAGGGCATAGTTCCTCACGCTTCCCTCATTATGCTGTTACACTATTTAGGAGCATAAACTCTCCAATTAATACCATGTCTTCTCCAATACAAAGAGTAATATTAGAGCAACTAAACGAATCATTAATAATCACAGAAATGCTACTCTAGAAAGCAGCCAGCAGAAGATCTGCTACAAACACTTGCTACTAGAAGAGCCACTTGCTAACAGTGTTCACTGAAGCCAGTATTTCCCCCATTCGCACCACATCAGGAATCCCCTCCTTTCAACTTCCATCTATCAAATACCTCAATACCTCTGTACAAAAGCTGACATTTCAGACTGGGATTTCCAAGTCAAGTGGCAGCAGATGTGACTATAAAGAACTTACTCAACTGCAATCGTTTTTTAGAAAATCCTGAAGAGAGAGATATTAATTAATTCCTTACATTACTTGAAAACAGCGTGATTAAGCCTTTGCATTCTAAAACAATGAAACCGATTCTTTTACTTTAGGAAACTATAGGAAAGCAGTAATTATTGGTAGACCCTCATGGGTTATAAAGCAGTTAATTGTGCTGATACTTTAAAGCTGTATTTTTAAACAGTACTATGTTTTTACTATAAAAACCTTATAGACAGGATAATTGTGTCTAGTTTTCAAAGAATTTATGTGAATCTCTTCACCAGGTAGGTACTTGAAACAGCATATCAACTCTTTTACATTCACTTAACTAATTAAATTATATTTTCTAATAATTTCAACAGAAAATATGCTTACAATGTGTAGGAATAGTCTCATAGCTGTCTCTCCATCCTTTAAAATTTTTTCCCCACCCTTCTGAAGTCCTACCATGACAAGATACACACTTCAGCAATATGCTCTGTATGCACACACTGTTTGGCAACACCATTTGTCTCTCCACAAATACCACTTGATATTCTCTACAGATATTCCATGTCTTTGATGTTTCTATTCTTCCCGTCATGTACAGCACCATGTTATTGCCATATTCCTTGTAAACATGGTTTACAATCTTTTTTCTTTGTTGATAATCTTGCAGTTGGCTGTATTAAAATGTGTATTGTTCAAGTTCAACGGCAAGTTTTTAGAAACGATATACAATTTGTACCTTATGACTTGGGTTTTCAGTGAGATTAATTATCCACTAGCTACCATCTCCTTCATAAATACCATTTTTGATTACAATAAAAAAAAATGTTCAGTTTTACTAACATGTCAGATAAACCGCGCTAATAAAATTCAAGAGCTGCTCCGTAGGCATGTGTCCTCGTAAGACCTAATACCCTTCACATGACCTCAGCTACTAAATGAAAATGAAATGCTTAAAGATACAAGAATACTTTGACTAAATATAACCAGAGATTTTTCTCGTCAAACCTGAAAATTTTGTTTTTCAGGCAAGCGGAGGTTAAAATTCCAGTACTCTCCATACCACAAATTTAAAGCTGAAAGTGAGGAGCGAAACAGGTCCTCTAAAGAGGAGAGCTCAATGACTAATGCACTGCCATGGCTATGCAACTCCAACCTAGAGGTAAAGAAAAGTCTCTTATTTCCCTGAGGGAGTGTATTTACAAATACTGTGTTCATAAGGAACTGTGCCTTTGAAATCAGATGTGAGAAGTGTGGATTTTAAACATCATTTTAGCCATAAGGAATTTTAATGTTTTCATATAATATTTGGGATGTGATACTTAACTTCTGATATAACTGGATGGTCTTTTCCTGAAGTGTGTTCCTGAATAATGCACAGCATGGCACTACAACTCATCTAAGCCTGTGTTGGAGGCACAATTCTTCCAGCCTACAACTGGAGTACATTTCAGTACGGAATCTTAGATAAAAATTAAGATTAGCTATTTATATTTAATATATGGATGAAAAAATGTCTATTTAAGGTATAGTCTGTTGTCTCTAATATGTCAACAGCAAGTAGTAATAATAATAATAATAATAATAATTTCATAATAAATAATAATTGATGATCTAGAGGAGGGGATTGAGTGCCCCCTCAGTCAGTTTGCAGACGACACCCAGCTGGGTGGGAGAGTTGATCTGCTCGAGGGTGGGGAGGCTGCAGAGAGACCTGGCCAGGCTGGAGCCATGGGCTGAGCCCAACTGGGGGAGTTTCACTGAGGGCAAGTGCCGGGGGCTGCCCTTGGGCCACAACAACCCCCAGGGGGGCTACAGGCCTGGGGAGGAGTGGCTGGAGAGCTGCCAGTCAGAGAGGGACTGGGGGGGTGGACTGATAGCCTTTTACATCTTTTACATCAACATAAAGAGGATGCCTCATGAAAATCAAGTCCAGAGTGATCCAGTCAGCTCTCTTTTAGAAGCTAGTATAGTAATCATTTAGCTCAGTCAGAAATTGCATTTGTTATTCTACCATGCAAGTTTCAGGTTCATCACAAATGAAATCCTGCTACTGAGTTGATTACCCAAATAAGGGCTTTTTTCCCTGAAGAGATGAGTCAGAGGTCAAAGAAGTTGAAAATTACACTGTTTTCTGATCAGTTTTAACATACAAAGTCAGGAAAACAATGGTCTTTTAAGTTAAAATATAAACTCAAAGCTAAATCCAATTCATTTAACTTACTAAAAAATGAATTGTTACATGTTCTACTACCTAGCATAGCATCCAAATAGGAAATTGGTGTTACAGTGGGCCTTTTATAAAATAACTGAATACTTACCTAAGTAGCACCTCTTAATGAATGATCACCAGCGAAGTAAAATGCTTCATAAGCCCCACAAACCCCCTTTTTTGATGCGTTAATTATAATTCCATCAACACCTAAAAGTTGCACAGATCTATGCACAAATGTTACGACCACAGGAAGAAATTCAAATGATCGAGTACAAATCTGCTTTCTTGTAGTGTCCAAGTGCAAACAGTTGTCTTTTAAGTACCTTTTTTCCCCCAAGATAGATTTATTATTTAGAATCCAGAAATATTAAATATCCAGGTGATCACTCAGAAGTGAATATTTATTTACTTTTTAAAAAGCCCATTTGTAAGTTCCTGGATAGAACATTACATACCGATAGCAATTTAGTTAAGAACTAGCTCTTGTCCCACAAACAGTCATGCAGTAAGTCAACTGAGACAGAGAGACTTATATATCATGAATTCTTAGATTAGTTTAAATTTACTCTAGACTAAATCAGCCATCTGACTTAGATGTGTGAAATCCACCCCCATAAAAATGTGTCTGTCTCAATCAGCTACTGAATTTAGACTGTTAATGTCAGGGGTTTGAATTTAATCTAAAGGAAATACTGTAAATACATCAAACCTTTTTTTCATTTTTATAAACTTTGGTTCTGATGCTCTTTTTAAAAAGATGTCTTTTTTGTGTAATTAGTGACAACCGCTTATCTACATTTAGTTTACCTTTTGATGTTCTACACTACGCCCTAATTAAAAAGAAGCACAAAAGTAAGAAAGAAATGCTTTCTAACAGCCTTTATTTTATTTTTTCAGTTTGGTATTATCTGTCCAATTAGCCTTCTGGAAAACAAAATTTAAGGAAATCCCACAATTATATAATAATATATTTTGGTTTAGAGTTTAATAGCAGCTCTTAGCTTGGCCGACCTTCCTCTTGGGTTTGTCTGAACATCCTTGGCCTGAGGTGTGAGAACTTTTTTCTGTATAAAACCCCATTTTGAGTTGGATTTTCCATGGGGAAGTTCTTGTGTATCATCTTCTTGGGAGAGATTTTTCAGAGCCTGTCTTATCTTCTGCTTTGAGCCAAGATTGTACTTTTCTGTCATGTCTATTCCATGAAGAAAACGTTTGATAATACGATCTTCTAACGAATGAAAGGAGAGGGCTACAAGGCGACCTCCAGGTTTTAAAAACTTCTCAGCTGTCTCCAGCCCTATTAAGAGTTCATGGAGCTCATCATTTACAAATATTCGCAGGCCTTGAAAAGTTTTGGTAGCAACATGTGTAGGTCTCTGAAGCAAGTCTTTTCGTGCATACAGTGCTGATGCTGGAAAAGCACCTGTCAAATTTTAAAAGGTATACGTTAATATCTTATTATTTCTACATTGCTATCCCGACATTAATCATGCATGATTACTTGACTCATGCATGATGACTTTAAAGGAAAGCATACTTACAACTGAACCCTGAGTGGTGAGCTTCCTTCTTTATAATATATCTTTATTTTCTGCTTTGAATTCACATTTCTGAAAGTAAACCCTATTAAGCTGAGCTGGCTTGCAGTTGAATGTTTTTGTTTGTTTTTTTTTTCCTAGAATCTTTCATAGAAAATCTTTCCCCAAATGCTTCACAAAATTAGAATGCAAAATGACGGCTGAAACCACTATAGAGGAAAAATGAAGATGGGCTAGACAAGTCTACTTTACAGCTCAGGGTAGTCAATGTCAGTTCAGTATTTTGGTGGTTTGTTTTATGCATTTAAGGCAAAAAAGATGACACAATTTTAACTGCTGCCTTCTAGTTAATCATGCATTTCCTCACAGGCAGAGATAAGATGAAGACAATGTCTACCTGGTGATAATCTTTCAATGAATTAAAGCTTAAAAGAGGCATCCTTGTTTGGGGATAAAAATTGTTAACCACTACACCTGTTTCTTCAAATGTTCACAAAAATACCTTGAGAAATTTAGAAAATGCAGTGATACTGTTGCTTTTTCACATGCCTATACAGCAGAACATGTAATGGTAAGAGTTTGTTGAACAACAACAAAAAATCACCAGATTAAATAATTTTTACTAGATGCATAAAACTCCCTCTTCCTTTCTCCAAAGTTCTTATGAGTTATACAAATCTCTGTAGAGACTGAAATTTTGATAGAAACTTTAATATATAATTCTTTAATGTATTTTAGATTTGAATCGTCATTATCTGAGTATAGAGCAAAAAGAGAAGCCAGATTTGATGGATCAGAGGGACTAAAGTGCAAGTGTCTTAAAAGATTGGTAAAACCTTAGTAAACTTATAATCTATTATGTAAGTGAGCGAAGTAGTCTAGTAAAAAGAAATTGAATGAATAAAGCTAGCACACAACTGGAAGGAATTATTTTTCCAAACAAGAGGCCCTGTTAGAGATAAGGCAATACAACTGGTACGTGTGTATTAAACCACCTTAATTCCATGCCAGTGCTCAACTACAACATAATAAAGCAATAGGTTTGAAGTAAACGCGGTTCATAATCAAGTAACTGATATTGTATGTAGTGAAGTAAAAGGAACATGGTATCTCTGAAATTATTTGACTAAAGTCATATTTATACAGGTGACTGAAAAAAACGTAATAGAGATACCATAATCCAGTACATTGGCACAAAATAATTTATTAGTGGAATTCTTGAGAGTTTTAAAAGGTGAGATTTTACTTCTGTCAGAAAACGTGTTTGGCATCACAAACACACAAGCGATCATCAGTGTTCAGCAAAGGGAGAGGCCAATAATGGGATTTAAAAATTCAATCATTATTAATAAAGTTATTACCATGTAAGCGATGTATCTAAGATGTGTTTCCGCATACTCAATTTTCCCAGCTACATTCCCTACCTTCTCTGACTCCAATGCTAACAGTTCCTGGGTTAGCTGAAGAGACCCATCATAGCTGTGGCTGTTTCCTTTGAGACAGAAAGTGGCAACAGGGTCAGCTTCACCCAACACAAAGTACTGCACAGGAATTTGTGGCTTTAAACTCTGTTTCACAGAACAGAGTAAACAGATTTAACCTGTGGGAGGCTAGGCTCCTCAATTACTTCCAAACTCTAGAAAAAGTTACACTAGTTAACGAGCATCATTTCTGTCTTTGAAAACACCATGTTCTATACTTGATATAAATAATAGAAAGAACATATACTCTCATTGTAGGCATGTTTCGATGAAAGAGCTGAACTAAAAGAAAAACTCAAAATTGCAGAAGGTAAGATGTCCCAAGAAACCAGCTGACACCATGCTTGTACTACCTACCATAGTATCTGTTTCCATCTTGCTTTACATACCTACAAATAGATTATTTGAAAACTGAATCCTTAAAACAGCCACTGACTGCCATTTGTGTGTGAACAAAACCGCCTCTTAATGGGTATCATAAAGGAGTGCTGTGCTGAGCAAAATAAACAACTGTCTTTAAATGGCCAACTAACAGCTACAAACACCAGCAGCATGCTCAGAACTCTTGAACAGTTATTAAATGAAACAGCAGGGTTTAAAATCAGCACGTAATGTATCCAAAACCATTCTATGACCTGCATGTTTCCAAACCATGCACCAAGTGACAAAAAATACATAGCTTCATATTCTCCGTTAGACCTGTCTTAGGTTTCAGCCATAACAGAATTCTTCTTCAATGGACTTTGAAGCTGAAACATCAGATACCTCAGTGTCTTTTTAATTCAGTAACAGAAGCCATGGTCTCTTGAATAAGAAAATACTGATTTTGCAGATCTCACACAATAAATCTCGCTTTTTCTAGCCCTATTTTAAAACCATAGAAATCATACCTCACTCTTCCCCTTCTCCCTTCCAAAAATCAAGCCCACTGCTGCCATGTTCACTCTATGAAAATAATCGTTAACTGGAATGAAAAAGCACTGTTCCCTTACAAAATATTAGCTGTTAACAAGCTAGTGGGTTAGAAAACAGAACGCATTTTTTCAGTCCTACTTGTACTGTTCCTGCCCCTTGCTGAACAATTTACAGCTGTGACTTGAGGAGCATCAGTTTTATACTCTGGGCTGTTACTACCCAGAGCTAGTGTTCACCTCAAAGCAGATCCAGAATTTTTAACTATCATATTTTAGCAGTCTAAGTATTTTCTAAAAATACTTCTGGTTTTCTGGGGATGATCCATTTCTGATAGTCTAAGAGTATTTCAGCTTCCAAAAGTATCACAGATAAAAACGCAGCCAACCCACAAGAACACAGCACGTAATTTAGGTACAAAACTGACTGTGCTTCTTGATTTGGACCTAACTATAAAAACATAAGCCTGGAATGAGATCATTTGTTTAAATTTCCACAGCCAATCTCACTGGAATTTTAGTAAAATAGTGGAAGTTTTATCTCCTATGTCATCAAAATATCTTTTGCTTATCTGAAAAAAAAAAAGTATGATATAAAAACCTACTTCAAATCTGGTTTTGTAAAAACTTAAACACAGACATGACGTGCTGATATCTGGACAGATCTTTAGTAGTCTAATCATGAACACTGGTATTTTGCAACTGCTATACTGAATAGATACACAAAATAAATTAGATACTCAAGCTATCAGCATGACTAGGACACTAACAGGTCTTTGGAAGGTTTTTCCATTGGTCCTGCCATGGCTGTTGAGTGCAGTGCCTTCCTACAATAATTTTCTACAACAATTAACTGTGACATTAATTTATTACTGTGAATTAATTTATCATACACCAAAGAATCAGATCTATTCTGTAAGCATAACAGAACCTCACATGCATCAGTTGAACATGCGCTCACAGCACTGCAGGTCACATACAACAGTACATATTAATATTCAAGAAATTGGTAAATGCATGCAGCCACTTTACAGCTTTCTGCAACCAAACTCCCCAAAAACTAAACCCCAAATCAAACCATTTCCAAATTCAAAGATTTATTGGTCTGTCTTCAGAGACTGGGATTAACTAATAAATGTAATCTGCAGTAGTGATTTCTGTCACGTTGGCCTTCATCTTTTTAGTAAAGGCAATGGATTTTGATCTGTGTTCCCAGGGGTGAAAAATTTTCCTACCCCACTCTTAGTCTTCTCGTTTAGTTAAATAAAAACCTATTTGTGATTTCTGCTAAGGCACAAATCTCTCACCCAGCCCCCTCCAATTACCATGACACTAAAAGAAAATCCTTCCTGGTAACAGGCTGTACAATGTACAAAAATATAAAAAAATCTGTATGGGAAGCTTGTAAAATGAATTTCATTCATAAAAACACCACGCTTCTGGCTAGATGACTGGTTTGGAATCCCAGTGAGAGAAATTATCATTTTTAGTTTTGGGATGCCCTGATGCTACTTACACTTTTAAAAATCTAATAGATTCACATTTTGAAATGTATTGAAATTTTAAGGCTTGTGAATGAAATTAACAACGTGCTGTGCCTGTCAATATAAACTACTGAAGTCCCCAGAGCGTAGGAGAGTGGGAGAGTTTAAAAATTAATTCAGATCGTGCACCTGTTTGCAGGAATCTGTCTGTTGAATTAGCATTGCATTTAATAAGTTTCTGTGACGCAACTAATGTCCTTTTGTCTGGGCTCCCTCAGTACAGTGGTAATTCTCATCCATCTGAAATTCAGGCAATATTACAAATTCCAAACTGGTAATTAAAGTCTATAAATGAGAATCAATCTAAATGAGACTGGCTTTACCCATTAAAATTCTTTTGAAACTTTTCAAATTTCTTTAATATCTCATTATCAATTCCTTTTAAGTTAGGTCCAAGTGATTACAGGATCTCAAAATGATCTGTTAATAAAGTGTGTATCTAAATTACACTGAGGAAAATTAAACTTTGAACAAAAACTAATAGATAGAAAAGTATATTACCCACTGAAAAGAAATAAAAATAGATAATCAGTTGTATAGAAAAAAGCATATTAAAATGACTTTCTAAAATTTTCACTGTTTTTAACTAGTTTTCCTGTACATTGAGTTAAACCTCAATGAGCTACAGCAAAAGACATCAGGAAGTGCTTCCTATTCAACTTCCACACATCTATTCACAGACCTTCAGCTGAGAACTAATGATCTTTAGTATTTACAGAGCATTCATCACTGCAGATAGCTGCGTGAATATTACAGACAGTGAGTGGAGTTCAGCTGTGCTGCAAGAAGAGATGGTGTTCACATGACTGAACAGAAAACTCCTCCTTCTTCCCAAGTAAACTGCAGACTCCAGTTCCCATCTCTGGCTCACAGAGATCTTATTTAAATGGATCAGAAGCCTTTTGACAACATTTAGAAAAACAAAAAAAGCTATTTTTTTGGGGGGGAGCAGGGGGGGGTGGTGGTGGTTGTAGGACCTTATTCATTGGCACACTACGTAGAGAAATAACTTTCATGCGCTATGTCAAGAAATAGAAGGAATTATTTTCATGAATTGGAACAAAGGAGAGCAAGAAATCACCTGGATACCCGAGTTAGCCCCAAGCTGTTGTAGGTAATCTAAACATACATATCTATTTATTAATTTTTTGCACCTATACTTGAAAATTACAACTCTTGCTAATACGAACTTTAGAAATGTCTGATTATGCTATAACTGTTTTACAGCTGTTTTGTCATTTGTTTTTTAACTACATCCTTCACTCTTACCTCCCAATCAATTAGCAATATCAATACACATTATAACCTTTTGGGGGGTGGCAGGAAAGACCAGAAGTCTAGCATTCTATAAACAGAAATGAAATTCTACAATTTCAGGCTAGTCCAAATCTAGATTCACTGGGATAGACCTTGACACAAAACTTTGGAGTTCTAGAAAATCTGAATCCATAGTAATCAATAACATGTGAAAGAAATATGGACTATACCTGAATTCTCAGTTACTGACACCAGCAGAGAAATAGGCATAAATACTCTGCCTCAAGGGCTAGATTTTTTGCTTGCTTTCTGGCTCACATACTAGGCAAAAAAATTGATCCTGTTCTGGAGAGATAATCATGCTTCTATAGAGTCTGAAAAATCTAAAATGCAAGGTTTTATTATCCTAATTAATATCTTATTTTTTAAAGAACTTGACATTTAACTAATAGGTCATAGATTTTACTCCTGAATTAGGGGAGTTTTTGCGCTGTGCCACCAAGAGGATCCTGTAGCTGTGGTGTCTGGCACTTTAGCTCTGGCTTACCTCAGTAACTTCACGGCTATCACTTTGCATAAGAATATATATTGATGACAGATGGTAAATTAAATAAAATATATTTTATATATATTTTAAATATATAATGTATATTAAAATAATATACTATATACAATATATATTCTAGATAATAATATATTATATTTATTATAATATTTTTAAATATTCTTAAGGTATAATCAGTTTAAAAACTAGTAGGATCCGCCATTGTGCTCCTTTACTGGAGGAATCAAACTAAAATTTGAAGAAGCTTTACCCAAAGAGGGATCGGTGTAACAGTCCTAAAATTGTTTTAACTACTTGAATACTTCAAAAAAAAAAGCACACTGTTTTGTGAGTTACTCTCTTGGCAGATATGTGCTGGAGTTTTGTCTTTCGCACATACAGTCTCTGATGCATACCTGATTCATGTATCAATCTGCTCCTCAAATACAGTAGAGTTTAAAGTGAGAACAAAAAATCCTTCTCACTGTCACAGAAAGTGACCATTAAGTGATGACTCACGTGCAACACATTAAACATGAAGGAATCTTCAATCACTGTCTTTTGGGCACTAGTATTTTTATTTTCTTAGTTCAGGATAGTGAACAAAATCATTTCAGAAGCTACAAAGTTGCTCACTTACAGCCTATAACATTCATGTTATTATATGAATTATAAACACAGTACATATTTAGCATAGCAATATGGTTGCTTCAGTCTCAATAATGGGACACTGTTTTAATCAACAGTCTTTTTATAAAAGACTCATAGTATTTTCTCTCTGCTTTTTTAAGACTGTTGTTTTTTTAAGATTGTTCTGCACATTCACTGTATTTACAGTAGGGGCTTACAACAGCAAGCAGCATCTTCCAATCCTGTAATCATATCACCTAAACTTTGGGCTTGTTTGACTGGAGATTTTGTTCAAATATCCTGACTTATACAAATTCAAACCTTTTCATTTGTCTGTTGGTCATTAAAAATAAGTCACTTAAACTTCCAGTTAAAGTAATCCTAATTTTTATGAATGCAATTATTTTTTAAAAGTCTTCAGGATATTGATACAATGTTTAATACTATTCTTCAGCAAATGTGAAATCTAGATAGCCATTTTACAGGTCTATAGCCAAAGGAATCAGCAGTTTAGACTTATTTGTGACAAGACCCAGTAAGTTTCATTTCTTGGTTAAAAAAAAAATAAATACCCCAACGTTACAGATTATAATGTTAATGAACAGGATACGAGTCTCACATTTTTCCTCGAGAATTTTCACTTGACAAAACAAACATGAAGGTTCTTGATGTGAGCGCAGTTTCTGCCTAACTACATTTTGTTCAAGTTGTTTACAGTGAAGAGCAAGTAAGATGAAGTGTTTCAATAGTCGCTTCAGGCTGATCTAGTTGGCATTCACAAGGTGAAGCAAGCTATGTACTGCTTCACTTTTTGCTTCCTGGTTCCTTAAGCAGACAGAAATGATCTGATTTCATTCATAACGGGAAACTGCCATGGTACTTCCCCTCAAAATATTAAAATGTATAAATTTAAAACTAAGGGAGATATATGACGTATCCGATATCTGAAGGTTTATCAGTAGCTGGAATAAAGAATTCCCTAGGCTGCTGTCATTCTGTGTTTCAACTTGGTTGGCAAAAAGATAAATCACTTAATGTAAAATCTATTATTAAACTAATTGTCAAACTACAATATAAAAAGTGGGGTTTAAAAAAAAAAAAAACCAGAGAAAAAGCTGACATGAGAGCAGAATAGGGAGGATTAGAACCTGCATGATTTCAAGTACAAATAGATCCCTCTGGGACTTTGGGGATTAATATTTTTTCTCCTCAGCCACTGTGAAGAATTAATGAGGGTACCTGCAACAATGCTTGCAAGCTGCTGAGTTCTGGTGATGGGGTATATGCTGCGTGCCTGAACGATGGCTGAAGCGATTTTCCTGGCGTGCCTCTCCTCCCCGTATGTTCTCAGGATGGACGCAAGCGCCTGTTGATCTAAAGCATTCACAACATCAGCAGCAGTGGGCATGTCAGGGTACCTACGCACAAGAAGAGCCAATTAGTTCACTGACGTCAGTTTTCATTGACAAGAGGTGAAGCTTCATAGCATTGAGACATAAAGTCAAACACACACACTGCATACAAGTGCCTTTGAGGTTTTCAAATAAGAGACAGCAACCCTGTGAAAACAGATATAACTTGCACCTTTTAAATCCTTTTTCTTGCTACTTTAAATGGAGTTTGTTCCTTAACATCAATTAGAACAGCTGAAACTTCCAAGTATTATCATAAACTACGCTTAATAAGTTGACAAGAATAAACACATTTCAGTCTCATGTTAAAATGGAGATGCTGTGTGACTTATTAGACAGCTTTAGAACGTAAACTTGCCCCTCATGGGTTCATTTTAGTCACCCTGCATTATATGTTGTTTTCTAGTTAGAATTGATTTCAGGGATCTTTTCTTTCACGTCTCCTGCTATGAAAACAATTTCTCATAAAAATAATTTAACTTTAGCTTTCACTAGAAGGCATAAGATTTTATATCTAAATACTGGTTTGAGGGAACAGAAATGACCTAATATTACAAATGACAGGAAATGTTACAATATAAACAATATAAGCCATTCATTCATTTTTTTAAATCTCTGTCACTTTACCATTGAAATACTTCAAGGTATTTTATCATATATGGGTTTACTAATCGGAGAACACATACAACCTACTTAATGAATTCTCTTCTACAAATACATGGATGTGCAGAATATTTTTCAGGCATTTAGTACTCTCTCTTGCAGTATCTTACAAAAGATAACAAAACTTAGAAATCAGAGGCAAGTAGTATCATAGCAACAACCATAGTGTAAGGCTTTTTGCTATGCCACAGGTATCCTTTGTTCTTAATGTTACTGTTCCATGTATGTATTCTCATGATGCAACTATAAGCCTGGAGTTCAGATCCTTGAAATCTGAGGGCTGAATCCCAGGAGGATCATGTGAGCTTTTTACACAAATCTGGAAAAAACAAGGATCATGAAATTTGCTGTGTTAAGACCTAACATTAACGTTTTAAGGTAATTCCTTAGAAACTGAGATTTCCCATCATCTCTGTGCGAGCAATGAAAGATCAAATGACATTTCTTAAGACTACGGGTTCATCAAAACACAAAGCAAAAAATTTCATTCTCCCAGTGATGCATTATGCAACTACTGCCATCATCTATACAACAGAGATCTTTGGTTGTTCATGTAAAAAGCACAATGCTACAGAAATATATGAGGTGCTTGAAGATGAAACCTGCTATATAAGTAGAAATTATCATTCCACCCTTGATTGTCATGCTCTTGAATGTACTAAACACCAATTCTAATAATTTAAATAGAGGTGATTTATTTACCAATTGTTAATGTGATAATTAAGACTGATGTGCCTCCTATACAAAGGGAAAGGAAGCTGATAATATTGCTAAGGAAAGCTTACAGTAAATCCACAGGCATGGAAAACAACATTATAGTAGTGTGTTAAAAGTAATGTTGCTCTCTGATTTCAAATGGCAGATATTATGTATGGGATTTTATTTATTTATTTAATGTTACGTTCCTTTCAGAGAGATGTAACCGGGTCAGATGGTCACTGCAAAAAAAGAGGGAGGTTGCTCCTTTCCTGAGGGAGCAACTGAACGAGCTCAAATGAAGGTTCCACAAACAGTAAGTGCAGCAGAAAAGGGACAGCAGTAAGGGGTTGTAAGCCTGCAGATCAAGTACAGTCTGAGAAACTGTGAAAATAACAGGGAGAAGACAGGCCTCAAAGTGAGATGCTCCACGACTGTATACCATACACTCCAAAACTGTAAAATTTTAATGGTATAGTTATCAAAAATGTTCCTGGTTTAATTACTCATCAGTGGAACCTTCCTCTTATTTCAAAGAACGAAAAGACAATAATCAGAGTTCCAAGTACTGAGATCGAAAAAAGCTTTGTGGCAGAAGAAAGACTGTATTGTATACTCATGCAAAATTAGATGTGATTTGATGACAAGAATTCTTCAATTTAAGGAGCAATGAAATGCACAGGGGCTGCTGAGCACAGAGTTTTTCAGTTTTAAGGAGAAGTATTTTATTAACTGGTACCTGTCACCATCCATCCTCATGTCCAAAGGTCCATCCTTCTGCAGGGAAAAACCTCTTTCAGGTGTATCAAATTGCATAGAAGAACAGCCAGCATCCAGGAGAACTCCATCTAGAGTCCCTGGCTCAACTCCAGAGGAGATTAACAAAGCCTCTGACTGGCTAAACTGTCCTAGAAGAGCTTTAATCTGTTTCCTGTAAGAAAATAACAAATAAATAGCCTCAATTTTAATTACAACAGTGCAATATCTTTCCCTTGTACAGCAGAAATTAGATAGTAGCACTCAATTGTCTCAGAAGCAATAGGGCTATTCCCAAAGTAGTAGTTTAAGTACTTTTCATATGTCAACACTGAAAACTGGTCCAACCCACCCATCAGTGGCTACTTAAGCTTTAACTCTTTACTCCCTGCTTGATCTCAAAGAAATGGAAACCTAACTAAAATTCCATGTTTTCACCATGCAGGAACTCAAAGGGACACCTTCCACATTCAGTGGGAATGCCCCGACCACCAAGGCACCTGCTGCGCTGAGCAGGACCCTTAGTCTAGTGAGGCCAAAGTGCAGAAAAGAACAAGTAGTTCTTGGCCCTAGAAGAGAAGCAGACAAGATGGAACACAACTGCACAGCCTTGCGGTTACTACTCACCAGCCAGGAACAAAACCCTGGGTCCTTGCCATGGACAAGCACCTTTATTTTTAGTGGTATTTGCCGTTTCAAAACTAACTGGGCAAATGAGGAGCACTGGATCATAAGCAGATAAAAATACTTCGGTGTAGCTTCTATTCAGGCACCTAATCACTGGGGAGAGCGGAGTCTTACATTCATTTTTGTGCTTAGTATTCTTCTACATTAGATTTAATGTGGTACCTGTTTAATATTCCCATACTGGGAAGGGAAACTGGCACAGCAAGGGAGATGCCATAGCTCCGAGGTGCCCAGTGCTTTCTCGGGTGTCTAAACCCAGACTTTTGATTTTTGCTTATATATAAGGTGACTTACAATTCAATAATTATTTGTATCTGGCTCTCAAAATAAATGAATTTCACAGATTTAAAAAGATTAACTGTGTTGCTGCATTTTTAAGCAGTAGCTGCAAAACACAAAACGTTTCTGCCCCTAACAAGAAGCCGCTGCCTCCACATCTGAGTTTTGATTACAGTTCAGATAACTGCTCTTCAACCCCACTGATTAGCACTGAAATTATTACAAGGTCCACTAGGTTAACTCATATAATTTTGTCTAAGTTACATGGGCCGCAGTGAATGGATGGAGAGAGCAACTCCATTAACCGTTTCAGCTACAAAAGGACAGCTGCCCATTTATCTTTTGACATGTCTGCATTAATTTTGAAAACTTTTTCAAAATACCAGCTTAAGTATAATCCTTTTTTTTCAGGTCAGTTTAACATCTGGCACTATAACACAACTTAGTCAACTCCAGTAGCTACAGTTTTAAAATAGAATATGAACAAGGAATTTGAACCTTTTTTTTGCACCAATCCAATTGGAGTGAGAAAATGCTATGAAGATTATCACAAAAAAAAAAAAAAAAAAAAAAAAAAAAGGGGAGAAAAAGTTCCATTAAAAGGAAGAAGTTATGAACGCAACCACATGGAAGAACATTTAGCTACACTATGGTATCCTCATTAGAGCAGAATAAATCAACTTATTTAACGTAGCACAAAACCCAGGAAATACCTTGAATGAACAGATTTCACGAGGGATATCATGATCACACGTACCCATTTTTGAATTGATTACTGTCCAGCACAATTAAATACAACTATTCAACCTAATAAGAACTGACAGTTCCCGAAAAGCATAACGATCCACTTAACATATTTAAACCAATTTAAGCTATATAGTTATAGCTTTGAGACTGTATTTCCACTCAATATAATGAGAGGGATTTTCTGGAAAATCTGTACAACTTTGTCCAACTGGGCAGCATTTTTAACTTTACAACCTATGCAAAAGGATTAACTTTATTCTGTATGTGGGAGATGAAAATAAAGGAGATCTGGAAAAAATTATAAATTGCACTGTCTAGTTCCCCCAGCAGACAGTAATCCATGTCAGCAGTTATGAACTAGTGCTGTATTGTGCTACCAACCAACTTGGAAAATTATTCTGAATTATATTTATAACTTGCTAGAAATTTGATTATGTTTCTTTAAACAAGTCATAAGTATGCAGATGGCTGTTTGGGACAGTGGCCTTTGATTTGTGGTCTGCGAAGCCTTTGTGATTGGGAAAAGGTAATTAAAAAAGAAGTATATTTGAAGCAAGATGAAATTTACTTTTTTGTAGAGAGATGCTTCACCTAGAAAATGTTTTGGAGTTTGTAAAGAAAAAGAAGATTGAAAAAGAATTAGATTGACATTTTGATGTCAGCCTTTCAGCTGTGTGCAATCACAGCTTCTGTTTCTTATACTCTACATTTTGTGTATCAATAGTGGATATAGGTGTCTTGGTGAATATAAATCTTTACTAAAACCAAATGCTTTTTATGAGATTATAACGACTACATTCAAATGTTCAGGCCAGTGGTCTGAATTTCTGGTTCTTTGTGGACTAGAAGAAACAATTTTAAGCATCTTGGGTATCTCATACATTTCAATTAATCAAACCAAGTATACAGCTATGACAGATTTATTACCTTATGAAAGGAAATAAAAATATCAACTCTTTTTTCGATAGGGTAGTAACACTAATGATAGCTATGACAAGGACTAATCTATTAGATTATTAGCATGACACGTTTATTTAAAGAAAAATATTTTACTGAGTATTCAGAAGGATTTATTAGAACATAACAAAACTCTTCCCTTGTCTACTATTCCTTACACCTATGTTCAAATAATAACTGCCTGTTACACAAGTTTTTCTCTAAAAATGCTTAATTAAGCCTCTATTTCTACTGCCTTCAGATTTTTATGTCATCTCTAAATCCTGTTTCCAGCATAACCTCAAATAATAAAAACCTGTGTACCCTATGCTAAAATATTTATTTCCTACAGTCACATGCCTTCTGCTCTGCCCAGGTATGTAGAAATTATTTTTACAGTGTTCCAACGTTTTCTTTGGGCATTAGAGGATTTATGTTCCATGACCATACTTACCTAGTGTGAAAAACTATTACCCTTTCCATCGTAATAGATTGCAAAACGAGCGCTTAGTGGAAAAAGCAGGAAAGGTAAAGCAGGGAACATCCCTAATACCAAATAAAACAACCAAGCATATAGTTCAAAAAAGCCAGAGAAGAGAGAGCATGCCAAAACATTAGGAACCAAGACTGAATGGGGGTTTTAGGCAGGTCTTGGGGATACCACGAAAAGCCGTTAAGACTACAGACAGATCATTTTAATCATTTTAGGTGATGTTTCAAGGGTACAATCTAACTAAATCCAATTGTCTTGCTTAAGAGAAAAGATTTAAACTTAGTCCTTGAACAGCACTTTCAAATTCAGAATATTTTAGAAACTTAAAACAACTGTGAAGAGCTTTTAGCCCCTCTCTCATAAACAGAGATGTAAGACTTACAGATTTTAATAATGAATGACTTGATACCTGTTTAGAAAGCTAAGACAATTTCAGACATTATGGTCTGAGGATGTAAAAAAGCAGATAATACCCGTCATATCTTATCTCTCATTTAGCATATGTGCGTGTGTGTGCGCGCACACGGTAACAGCATGGCAATTTTTGATAAATTCCCAACTGCTACAGTCAAGCAACCTCGAACTTCTCAAAATATTCCACATGCTCACGCTCTATTAATTTTGATATTCTCCAAGAAAAAAGTATTCAAGATTTTTAGAAAACACTGGGAAGATGGATAATGTAGCCAATTTTTAAAATAATAAGTTATTTCAGCTGCTATCTATGTTGTTGTGCAATAAAATCTATTAAGGCCACAACAACCTCAAGAGCTTGCAGAATTCTTGTACTGTTTTCTACAGTTGGAAAAGAACGCAGAACCTTAGGTTCAGGACCCTTTTTTTCAGGTCACAACATGGTATTTTATTATATTATACTATGACACATCGCATAGTAATTCTGATAGACAGCACTGGATCCACACTTCACAATTATATGAAAGAGAAGAATGAGAAAGAGTTCGAAGTCTCCTAATGTATTTCAAGCTCTTCTGCCTTCAGTTAACCTCTGGTATTCTATACACTATAAAAATTTTTCTTTTTTATTTTACTGAGCACAGGAAAAAAGTAAAGCATGAATATAGCTTCTACAAAATAAACAAAGAAAATATCTTCCCTTTCTAGTTTCTGTTGTCACAGAGGTTGCTGTGACACCAATTATTCAGGTAATTTCACAGAAAAGTACAATTATGCTTTCATGGTGCTTCAGCATTTTTTATGTGTATATAACAATACTTGCTCTTGATCTTTCACCATTGCTCCCCTTACAAACTCTATGTACGATTACATAGGAAGTCAGGAAGTGATGATCCCTTGTCAACAATGAAAACTACCTTCTACTCAATCAGAATAAATGTTTCTTTGAGAGAACTAGGGAAAAAAAAAAAAAAAAAGCTTTCAGCTCACTCTTGCCAACACACATCAAACAAGGAGACCAATCTGGTGCTTTGTTTGCTTCAGTAAACCCACTGAGACTGCCAACAGGGGTGTCGATGAGCACCAATTGTAATGAGGACATTGGTACAGACCGGGGGGGGTTGATGTCACTGACTCACTTCACCCTGGTCACTCAGCAGCTGTCAGACAGCTGTGACTTCCAGTCACGGCTCCACTGTGCCAGGCACACCTAGAAGCAAACCACAAAGTGTTCCAGTCCTAAATTCCTGAAACTTCCAGCATCCTACCTGGAAACTGTTGCGAGCATTACTCTACCTCAGTGCAACACCCCTCGCAAAAAAATGTATCTGCATATACCGTGAAAAAATTTAAATAACCTTTGACAAATGGGGAATTAGTATGGTTTTCCTCTTTGCAAAGAAAAAAATAAAAATCGTAACATCTAACAACTTGTAAGTGAACTTTGGCATTACATTCCTAGCTTTATAAAAAACTGATTGCAGCTCTGGAAAAAGTCCATATATCTATTTGAGAACTAACAGTTCAGTCTACATGGGGTTTTGTGCTACAAAATTACAAAGCCAAATCTTAGCCACTGATTAACAAAGACCTGAAAAAACAGGAAGAAGCATATGTAA